GTGAAAAGTGATCGGTCGTAGTGCTACGCTGCACAACACAAGTGTTTGAAATCCCGTAGAACCTGTAGTTTGATTCTGATCACTGTGTGTATCCAGTACCACTCTTGACGGAGAGCGTCTCCAGCAGATGCAGCAACGTTCGGTCTAACAACCGGTCATATGTCGAGTGTGAAAAGGACGAACGAGTTACAACACCACCTGAGGCCACGTTGTCGAGCCCTTCAGATCCCAGTGATGTGCAGTGAGGACCGCTGTTCTGTGAAGCAATGGGGCAATGAACGCCGCGGAATAGCGTTGGATGTGCTGAAGGAAGGCGACTTTCAACGGTCCTTGCATTACCCTATTTGGTGAAAAGCCAGCAGATGAGTGAAAAAGTGCCCTCTGCATTGAAGAACATTTTCGTTTAAACACCATAAAAGCCCAACGGGATCAATGTTGTACCAGCATTCATCGAGGCTCCGAGCTACCGACGTGTGGAAAAGTTGATTGCCCCAGTTCCAGTTCTAAGACCGGTACGTGGCGGAATCCAATGTAGTCAAGTGACCGTAGGAATTTCGTTCAAGGCACAACATAAAGATTGCGCTCATCCTGTGAAAACAGGGCAGAGATAACTGGCGCAAATGCTGCCACTTAATAACATCCAATCACTATTAGCTACATAGTGCCACTGCTGACCTACCTCATAATGAAACGCCATGTGCTCGACAGAATGAAACACCCAGCGATTGCACACGAGCAAGTTTGCAGCGACTTGGACTCGCCTGAGGTGTACTGCAATCGGACTCGGATGAAGTTGACTTGCACACATGGGAGAAAAGAACTGCGACAGTGTCGACGCCCGGACTATGTGCATTTACTCATCGGTGAGGCTTAAACCGAAATATTGTTTATCACTAATCGGTTCAGTGGCTGATTCTCTTACAGCACGCTTTCCGCGACATAAAGAAGCTACCATTCCTTAATTGGATGGGAACTCTAATCATTTAGCATTTCTCCCACCCTTTTTCGGCAAGCTTCCGATAACTACGCCTATTCTAATACTACTCAACTTTGCTAACGAATTTTGTGTCAAGCAATTGAGAGGTTTTTACAACATCTTCCAAGTCCGATATTGCTTTACACGTCCGATGGGGCCCTAGACTGCCTTTTCGACCTGTCGGGACTCGTCAGTTGTGCGTATCTATCGGGTCCATTAGGATCAGAACCTCTGGTCAATATCGGTTTGCATCACTTGCCAGTAGTTTATGCCACTGAGCTATGAGGCAAGAAGGAGGGTCGACATGACTAAAAGCTAACTGCGACATAGCGCAAATGATCATCAACTGCCATGCAGGTTAAAAATGCGGAAAAAGCCTGGTCTCGAAGATGCTGCGTAGATACTTCAATTGGTTTATTTTACTATCCATCTTTCCTTAGCGTTAATCGTTTTCCTAAGCCGGTTTGTGACCTGAACGTATGTGTGGGCGACGTCCTGGTGGGAAACACTAGGGCGACTGGACACTCAACATCGGTCGGTTCCTGACAAGGGACCCAATATGAATGGCTGTTATCCACATGCGTGTTTTTGTCTAAGGTACTGCGTATATTACACCGTCTGCTTGCGGCGTTATAGTGAAATCGTTCAAAAAAGGCTTATTCCCACTCATGATTCTAATGAAAGCCATTTTCGTTAGGCTATTTGCGGTTGTTTGAACAGAGTAACAAGAGCAGCGCTGAGTTGGATTCAAACAGCGTTCATTTACTTTGCATGACTTTTGGCTCAAACACGTTCCCTTAATTGAACTGATTCATGGTTAGCAAACTAGGAATCGCAAAACTTTTGAAAACACTGCTTGCCTCATAAAAGGGCATCCAACCTTGGAGTCTTTACCAATGGTATGAGCTAATAGGCTCTATTTCTCTGTTCGCTAAGAGCCTCCTTTTTGGCCAGCCATGAACCGCACTGCATGCGGCTGGTCTTGCGTTTACTATTGTTACTTACGAAATCACCACCGATGTCAGCAACGGTGTGTGGCTGTACCACCTCTCGTCGGAATTTAGGTAAGTTCTCATCGCAATAATGTCCAGTGATAAAGAGATTAATGAGAACATTTTGACCAGCTGCCATCTGGGAGATGCGCTATCCATACAGCGGAGGCCAGCTGTGAGGGCACCTCTCTGGAAAGCGGAAAGCCGTTTAAGACAAATTACCTCCCGTGGCGGAGCTGTACGCTATCGGACGCGTCCACAAGTTGCGGATTGGGGAATGCCTCCCTAGTGGTGCTAAATTCAAATATGTCTCGTTTTCTTTGCAGGCGAGATGAATAAATAGTCGCGGACAATAAGCGGCAGCGTCTCACAGCGTGGGGAGTTCTGGGTTGGTTACCTGGTTCTCCATCAAATACCACAAGAACTCGTACGGCGTTGTGTAAAAGCCAATGTGATCGGCTATAGGGTCACTGACCACACACTTTGTAACCAAAAGTGAGTACCTAACGGAGGGCAGATGAACAACTTTGTTGCTTACCGGCTTCTCGGTGGACTACTACTACTAAACACAAAGAAGGCGAATAAGCAACTCGGATGTCAAGGGTCTTCATGAATCTCCCCGTTTCCTTGTGGGTCAGGTCTTTATGGCCATAGGCTCGGGGTGGGGTCCCTTAAGTTAACCCTCTCCCTCGGCCTGGTCAACAGGGAAGCTGTCTGCCCACACAACACAGTAACCTTCTAAACCCTCGAAACCCTTCCACTGACTACCGGTTTTCCCCCTTCTTGTTGTTAACTGTGTGTTGTGGTAATGCCAATTGTATATTGATCAATGTTTGAATAATAATAATACTGGGGCGGCCATACTCTAGGAGAGAGAAGCATGAAAACTATATAAGGTAGTTAATCGTGACCCGGCAAATCTCATCATCAGTGTCTATGGTTAACTTTAAATGGTTGCACATAATGGGGCACTGAAGTGACCCACAAGATTAGCATGAACCGAGTATATCGCATGCTTCGACTGAAGCGAGGCTGTACTGATTCTATTGGAATAGCAAAGAGTTTGATCTAAGGACAGTCACCTACATATGAGGCAAGTGTACGCAGTTGGAAGGCGCGTTGACAGGGTTTGAGGCAATAAACTTGTCAACAATTGACGTTGAAGGTTAATGTTGGAAATGCGTGGCAGACGGTTACCGGGGCAACGGTGTAAGGGGTCTCCTCACTCCGTTGCGAGGACACGAATTATCATCTCGAAGTTATAAACCCATGTCATGCGCACGATGAACACAGTTAGCATTCATCATGCACAGCGTAACGTATAGGTCGGCCCAACTGGGCCGATGTGTCAGTGACGTAGTTGCGAGCAGCCCATCGTGAACAGTTATGGGGAAAATCAAAAGTTAAGCATCCAACAGTCTCGTCACAGTTACTGTTAAATTGACAGCTGACATTTACAGGATAGTTTTGGACAGAAGCTTCGTCATACTGAAACTTTTCAGTAGGGCGCATCCAGTTCGAATCGTTCAGGATGTGAACTCGTGACCGTGCAATCAGTAACACCGGACCATGAGCGACCGCAGCGAGCTATGCGATGAAGTTGCTAACCATGGCATATTGCATCACATCTTACACGTTATTGGTTTGCAAGTGAGTTTGATGGCATCGTTCCCTCCGTACGCTACCAATCGTCTTAGAGTGCTTTAAGTTAGCTGTGCAATGGAAGATACCATATAAGTAGTGCCATGGAAATTTGAAGCGTTTCAATTAGCTTCCTCGACGCTAGACTCAGTCAAACAAACATTAGATATCCGGCCGTTTGATTCGTTTTCCTTGTATTCCACCCGATGGGATTCCACCTCCATGCAGTCTGTGGTCAGCCGCTTATTCCGCTGGGCTACGGTTGACGACTAGTCACGTATGCCATTGCCGTGGAACTCAGGAAACAAAATTAAAGCGACAGACTTGTTAAGTTTCATTCGCTTCCGTGTCCGGTCCATTGAATCGTGTGCAAACGCACCCTGTTCAAATGGATCCGGAGCACCCTGCTGCCGAGCGAGACCTAGCTCTGTCCGGGTGTTCGTTGAGCGGAAAACAACCGCAACTTAGAGCTGGACAACTAAGTATTTCTATGTGGCTTCAGTGTAAAGGAATTTTCACCAACTGGCCAAAGAACACAGCCAATTTGAACAAAGGCCGAGTCTTTACGGTACAGATGTATTCAATTCTTCCGGCTGTAGTTGCATAAAAAGGACGACGGATTTTGTTATATGATCTGATTTCCATTGTAAATAGCTTTGTGCCCTGTAAAGTGCATGCCTAAAGGTTACATTAAAAGCGGGGACGATAACCTTAGAACAAGCTTTCTGACGAACGTCATCAGTGTTATTCGTCATTCGCTACTCCCCGTTATTGCACCGTCCACAAATCACCACGGAATGTGTCTGATTACTGCGAACAGGTCAAAACCTAATTAATGCACTGGTGCTTATCCATACACTGCCTTGTCATTGCACTAGCTTGTCAAATGTTGCACCAAATTCGTCCAAACTTGTAGCATTTCAAATGGAAGGAATTCCCAATATCTGCTGCATTTTTCCCCACTAGTTCTACACTCGCCGTAACAGATAACCTCATTATGTTCGTTGACTTAAAGTTACACGGGAACCAGGAGAGTATTGCACTAAGGAATTCTGGGGAAGAAAACGACCCAGTCATGAAAGAATTTTGTGGTGGTATCGGAGGTGGATTTAACCGTTGTATTGCACAAAGTATGAGCTCTAGTTCGTCTACTCTGTGGAACTACCCTAAGGTTATAAATCTCTGAGCTGCTGTCTTAGTCAATAACGAATGGAAACGCCATCTACCTCATATCGTCCATACCGGGTAAGCCTTTCGGGTATTGAATAACAAAAGAATGACGGAGCACACACGAAGCACAATCGAATTAAATACGCGATCATCTTCAATATCTTGAGCGCGAAACCAAAAGTGATGGTAAAAAATAATTCACGTAATTAACTAAGACTTACCAATTGTGGATATAGTACCGGGATTGAAAGGCTCTCCCATTAGGGTTCGCAGTATGGAAGTTTTACCGACACCGGAGTTTCCCAACATGAGGATCTTGAATCGTGCATCAAATCGATTCTCTCCCGTTCCTCCTGCAGTACCGTTAGTGGAGTATAGCGGAGCTGATTTTCTCCAAGCCTTTTGCTTTCCCAACCTAGCTGCCCCGTTTGATGTTGGATACAAGTAGCTGTTTGGCCGAATGGGAGAAGGAAGCCTTGGTGTCTCCAACACTTTGGGATCGTCATGCACCGCAAACGAGTGAATCATTATCAGTGGACCGACCAATGTGTTGGAGCCTGAAATGCTACCCCCCGTTTCGCTCTGCCTGAAAAGAAAGTGGAAGCTATCGTAGGTGATCTCACGATAAACGTTAAGGTAATTTTAACAGTAGTCTGCGGTCTGGTTGCGAGTACCGTTGTTGGAACGTATTTCTGGTACTTCGCAAATGGCAGTAGATAGGTCACTAGCTGGTGTATAGCTGACCAAAACCTTCTGCTATTTACTTGCTGTCGCTGTGTCCACCTACAATGCAACACATTCTTTGACGGCGGCACCTTTTGAACAGTGTGTATTGCAGCTCCACACCAATTTATGTTACTGGTAGGTTCATAAATTCATTGGCATATTGCAAATGCCCCAAAAAGTAAGCCGAATAACACAGGACCCGAAACACATTTCCTCTTCGATCAATTTTTGTGCACAGTAGTCGTTCCAACGGAGTCACAGTAGTATCCATGATGAATGCATTTTCATCGATTGCCGAATTTCTAACCAGTGAGTCAAAATTCCTATGTTTAGAACACAGTCCTAAATACCCCCAGATTGAGCAAGCAGTCGTTTATAGCCAACAAAAGACGTTAGGAAGCCACTAGCGGCCGAATTAAGGCATCACAGGGTTGATTACACATGCGGAATTAAAACAGAATGAAAGTTATCTGGCCAGAATATTTAGAAATGTAAACACAAAGAAAACCATTAAGCGGAAGTTCATAGGCAGCATGCTTTTTCCATCTAGCACCCTGAAGTCGTGCTTCAAATTTAGGTATCCGAATAACTACAAGTAATTTGATTCGAAAGTATTAACCAGTGGCCACCGTCCGCAGCCTTCCCCTTGCCCCAGTAACACAGGTTTCCGTCTCGTAAGACATTGGTGTAGAGTTCGAACTCTTACAATTCAAGTAGTTGCCTGCTACTAATGAATTCTAGAAGGATGAAACTGACGTACAACGTTTTTCCAGGTGTGTAATCGCTACTGAAATGAGCCCGGCTTATGCGAATCATTAAAATACTAACTTTGCCTTAGTTATTCTAATCCTTCAACATTGTGATGGGCAAAATGAGTTACTAGATGGCGATCGGTCGCGCGAAGCGAAGCATCTCTCCACTATCCAGTTACTTTCGGCTGTTTTGTCCATGCAACTTAATGGGGCATTCGGAAACTGAGCTGCGTGATGCTCGGAGAGGAAAGATCGTCGCATGCATTTTGCTTTTAATACCCTACATTAAGCCTGATCATTTGCTAAGTCATCCGGCAGTTGCCACTCCTCGTATGGGGCTCAGTTGGTACAAACCAACTTAGTGATCACAACGGGGTGCGTTTGTGTTATCCAAAAGAAATTAATCCGTGAGGGAACGCACTTAACATGATTTCACATTTAAACTTCCTACGATATATTTAATCGTATGCGGTCGTTTTTCTTTCTTGTAGCAAAATTAAGGATCGTTTTCATGTTGCAAGGAATCAGCCAGCATATATGGTTTCAATCGTTATAGTGAGATACGAAGCATTCGGTCGAGGGCAGGTGGAACTCTCCGAAGCTTGACTCAGTGCAACAGAAAGAACACATTCGAAAGAACACTAAAAGGCCGTTCCAGGCTACTGCGAGTGAGTGCCAGGGCTCTTTCCACTTGAACCATTTAGTATTTAAGACCACAAACCCACTCTCCCTAATGAGCAGCCTACACCACTAGACTGTGCTAATAATCATTACAAGTGCAACAAGAGAGGACGAAACAGCTGCCTGCAGCTACCCCCATGGTTGAACACTGACTAAACACAACTGTCCCGAACTGTCCCGACTTGGTCGCGAGAAATGAAAACCCTCACTTCGAAGTTGGCGTCGGTTGGTGCATCCCGACTGCCTGGCTGGGGTCCTAAGGACGGTGAACACGTTTGGTTGGACACACTTGCTGATATGGCTAGGAGCCGGCCCCAATGGCGTTTGTGTTGTGAGTTCCTTTGTCCATCCCCCTCCTGTTTAGCATCCCCCTCCAATCACGATCTCAATCGTTTGGCATAATATGACTTTCTTTTACGGCAGCCAGCTGTTAGCTCTCCGGAACGATGTCCATCCGTTACTGGGGACTCAGCGTGCGTGCCACTGTTTGTTGTTGTTGTTTTGTTTTTTCTTCTTTTCTTGCCTTTTGTATTGCGACACAATAGCTGAGGTGTTTTCCACCTCCAGCTAACGTGTAATGATGATGATGATGATGATGTCCCGAATTCTCGTTACAGCGCTGCCTTGTTTGGTAAGTGAAATTTTAGCCCCGAGGCAGTTTGTGTGCCAGCATTTAGGCTTTTGTCAGAAGGTGTCAGCTTTTTTTGGTCCTCTTTGCAACGTAGTTTCAGCCGCAGTTTACTTGTTGAGCTGTGATTGTCTCTATCACGTATCGAACAAGAGAATGACTTGAACAATGATTTTATACGGTGTTGCAAAGAGGTTTCTTTTCGGTAGTTCACGTCAGGCAATTACAGCTACAGGACTGATAAATGCAATAGTTAACTGGTGAAGACAATAATGAGGACGGATGGGACGGTTTGAACAGATTTAGCATGTTCGTTCGATGCTCAAATCGATTTAATCAGGTGACATCGTGGCGATGGGGTCCCCCTTGGACCTCTCCTTGCCGACATCTTTCTCGCTAAGCTTGAGCGTGGTCCCATCCAAAGGCTACTTGTCTCAATTGATTCTTATTGGAAGTATATGGATGACACGTTCATCATCTGTGATTTTCGCATTGATGTCAACCATGTGTTTGACCAGTTAAACAGTGCACATCCCTCAATGAAGTTCAATAGTGAAATGGAAAATGTAGTTAAGCTGGCTTTTCTGGACGCTTTGTTGAGGAGGCGCGAGGACGGATCACTTAAGTGTAGTGTCTACCGCAAAGCTACATAGGTTGGACAGTACACGCATTTTTCAAGCTTCGTCCCTCTGAAGTACAAACGCAACTTAGTGCGTTCCTTGAATTACCGAGCCACCAACATTTGTAGTCTGGAAACTCTCGAGGGTACAGAGGACTGAATTGTGAAAACACTTCTTTCGAATGGATACCCTGAGCATTTCATCCAAAAGCACGCCATGACCCGTGAGCACGATATGGCCGTAGCAACGGTCGCGAAGAAGGGAGTGTTTCTCTATGCCTTCTAAGGGAGATATCGCCTTCAATCTCCTGAACAGGAGACATTCTAATGCCGTAGCAAGGATATACCCGGCCGCCCACCCGCGGATAGTTGCGGAGACCGCTCTCTTCATAGCTCAACGTCTTAAAGACAGTGTCGTCCGAATCGTACATTGTTTACCAGTTTACTTGCACCTGTAGTGGCAAGTACCTCGGGCATACGACCAGGCGTCTGTCGGTACGGATGGCTGAGCATTGTCCAGCGTCACTGCGGAGAGGCACGCTCAGAAATATCAACAGCTCAATCATGGAACATCTGATTCTAAGTGGGCATCAGATTTTGACAAAAGATGCCTTCAAAGTCTATTATGTTGTACCGAGGCGATACCCGAAAATGCTTAAGGAAACGCCTCTTGCAGACGGCTGAAGCCATCACGACACGGCTAACACAACCAGAGCTATGCAAGCATATGGTGCTTGTGCAACTCTTGACTTTGCCATGGCCATGAAGAGAAGTCTCCCCGGGCGTATTACGCATAACCGGGTGCTGTTTATTTATGTAATTAACTAATTTTATATTGTTAGTATTTTTTCCTTTTCTGTTTACACAAGTTGTTTCGCCGTCTGTTAGCCCTATCACGATGTCACTTGAGCAAAATCGATTTGCGCATCGAACGAACATACTAAATCTGTTCAAACCGTCCCATCCATCCTCATGTTTTGCCTTCACCAATTTACTGTTGCATTTAGCATTCCTGTTGCTGTAACTGCCTGGACTGAACTACCGAAAAGGGAGCTCTTTGCAATGCTGTTTTACTTTTAATTTTATACGGGTGAAGATGTACTACTTTAAAGGTCCAGTTGGATGGTCTGTTACCGTTCATAAAAAAGTTGATATAAAAACAATTAGCACATTAGGTATCCAACCGGGGACCTATTGTTTGCAATGTTGTAAGCCTGCACGTCTCATTGTTTCACAGCCCCAAAGGGTGACAGATATTGAGTCCAAGATATATTCCAGAAATAGAACTGCGCGGTAGTGCTAAGTAAGAAATTCTATGTGGCTAGGTGGGGCATCCAACCAACTTTTAAACATGCATATCGTTGTTGTAACGATGACCAATGCGGAGAGAATATTCTACGGGTGACACGCGAATAGCAAAGAAATTTCTGCAGCATTCCAGCCGGCTGTACTGTATCGCCAGTTTCATGGAGTGACCTTTCAAAGTTGTGCTTCCACTGAGTTGCAGCAAGGACTTGGTTAAGTATTGGTCCAAGAATTTTAAGAAGCACCAAACTATCCTGTAATAGCAGTTTCACATAAGGCATTGAACTTGTAGATCATTATTCTACCTGTCCCATTATAAAAACCTAGACAAAAAGACGCAATGTACATAGTAGAAACGACAGATCAATCTTAACAACGTACATTGGAAACTTATACTAGCTGTTAAACTTGAGAATGGTGATAGCGCATCACACACAGTGACGTGCGAACATGTGATGTAACATCTGGATGGCTCAAGTGTTGATGGAACAGACTGCTCAAGGCACCGAGCGGGTGGCAGCAGGCGTCATTGTCGTAATCTAGATCATCTGTTGAGCAAAATATATGCTTGACTACAATACCGCGTAGCTTGAATACCCTCTGCAAGTGACTGACCGAAAATCAGTGTCTTGAACATGCGGTAGCGATGTAACTTGGCGCTGACCAGCGTTGATTTAGTCGTAAACAAAGAAGGTTAAACGAGTAATCTAATATAGCCGTTCTCAACAGTGGCAGTACGGACCCCTGGGGGCCATGGAGAATTCCCGGGGGGCCCTGGGATGTAAAAATGGTTTTGGGGGGCCATGGAGGCCATAGA